GGACAACTAGTACTGGCGTAGTATTGGGCCGATTGTAAAACTCTATATGGGAAAGCTTTAGTTAAAGATTTTTAGTTAAAATAACACACTTGGATTTGTATTGTAGCTTCAGTACTAAACTTGAAAGCGCATAGTTATTCGACATCATGATTCGACGGGTGATATATCAACATACATGAAAAAAAAGTATAAAGATTGGTTACGTGTTGTGTGTTTGAAAGTCATTAAAAGATTAATAATCAAAACGTACATTTTCAAAAGTGCGGTTTTCATTGTTTTTCTTATCGAACATGATTTTAGAACTCCATAATTTTCGACCAGAACTTTTTTTCAAAAAGTTATCGATATTTAAATTGAATTTTTTTAGCCGAACTCTTGCAAAAAAGTATAAAAGAGTATCAAGAACTATGTAACTATTCAAAAAGTTAAAACTGTATTAAAAATTATTTTATTTGGATGTATACAAAATCATGAAGTTGGCCTCATTTTTTGAAGTTTACTTTCACTATCAATGGACGGAACTCATTCTAAAAACTATCAAGAAGTTTTCCCTATGTTCTAAATAATCCAGAACTTAAGATAGAACTATGACTTTGTAGCAGGGAGGGGGGACAACTTCACATACCCATTATTATAAAAGTAGTAACAATCAAACATTATAAACAGTTTTAATAATAATTATCTTTTGCCCTAATATTCAGAGCGTCTAAAAATGTACTTGAATTATGAATATAGAAATTTCTACATATATATTCAAACTTAAAGAAACAAATAATTCTTTCATTATGTATTTTTGTGAAATATTTTTTTTTTTTTCATAAGAATGCTGAGTAATGCCGAGGATCAAAATCAGAAATATTTACTGCGAATGAAACGCGGAAAACTACAGATTTATTTTTCATACTTCCGAGAAAAATCAGTGTAATACATTATATATAATAATGTGTTGTGTATATATATACAGGGTGTCCAGTGATTATGTGATACCTTTCGTGGGCAGAGAGAGCGGGTTAAACTGAATAAAAAAGCTCGAAAATTAGCCATCTGTCACTCTTATCTTATTAGAAAAGTCCTTTACTGTTTCTCAATAATTAACAAGAGATTAATTAATAAAGATTTTCAAATCATGTGCGTCCGTGCGATTCGACGAGAAGAGGCAGCCCAGCGGTTACAGTTGCTAGGCGTGCGGCGAGGCATTGGGAGGAGCGCTCTATAAAAATTACGAACATGGACGTAGGAATATCTGGACGGAGCGTAAGGAACGTCTTTGGATGAAGAAAGTACAACTTGAGAGGTGAAGGGAAAATCCATTGGAGCTTAAGCTTCAATCTCCGTGGAAATATGCTCGGTTTAGGAAGGAAAGTGAAGGACTTTTCTATTCACTTTAACCTGCTCTGGCTGGCCATGATGAGACGTGTGACACGGTAATTACCGGACACTTTGTATACATATAATATGCTGAATTTAAATGGGGAACCTTGTTACACGTCGGTCCAATTTCAGTTCCGGCGGAAGCAGCAGTTCACTTTGCCAGTGACTATTATCAAACGTATGACATAATGAACTCTATCGTGCATGGGAAACAACTTGCTTTGTATTCAGTATTAGATACTGTGATAAAATGGCATCCATCGGTCTCGCATTTAATTCATTGAAAGTATGTGCCACGTGATTCTTTACGCTGTGTGCGGAGTTTAACTTAAAAAATTTATAAAAAAACGGTTTAATTTATAAAAAGATTAGTTTAAAATTTATATCCTTTGTGTATGTTACGGTTTATTTTATCGCCGTGATACCGAAGTGTTTCTCCGAACAGAACGGTGATGATATTTTCAACGGATTCGTGTACCTATAGGACAGAAACAACATACATAGAAGAAAATGATCGATGCGCGTGATTGATGAGTAATGATCGTAGACTTATGTACACGGAGTCAACTGTTTACAATAAATAAGTCTTTAATAAATATGCTACTACATATTAATAGATTCTACAAAAAAAAAGAAGAAAAAAATCGCAGCGAGGTTTCTCCAACAGATACATCTATCTAAATTCGATGAAAATTCTTTTGCTTCGAGAAACAAGGAGACGTGACAAATTTTCGTTAAATATAATTAAACGAAATGAATTCTTCAAGTGGCACTCAATAATCAAACAATTTTCAAACATTAAATGTTGACATATAATAAAGATCGCATAATAAAGATTGCAAATATGAGTAGCGTATTTTATGGCGTCATCATTTTACTCATTATCAATCAATCTTTTGTTTTAGAAACGCTTCTTTTGGGTTATATATTTTTACGGTAATCGATTTCGCAAAATTGAATTGTAGTTGATATATAATTACAAAGTAATAATAAGCGTTGCTTTCGTTGCGAGAAACTCGCACAGTGCCACGTAAAACAAAGTCTGCTAGAAATACATTAAAAATTTATTCCAACATAAAGTTAAATGTATCGACCACTTGTGTGCGATAATTTTGATTAAATATTTCATAAAATGATAAATGGTATATTTGCATACCTGGAAATCCGAACTATAACAAATTGTAATTATAATATAATGGAAACGCTAATTAAAACCTTTGTAATTTTCACGTCGGCACTGTCGAGCCCGTCGCGAAACGAGTTCCTGAAATAAAATTGGAAGCGCGAGGAATAACGATCGAGATGGAACTCGAATGACCAGTATACGCAATTTGTGTCGACCTGATTAATCGGTCTCCTTGGTAAAATAAGAAAGCCAGTATTCTCTCTCTCTCTCTTTCTACTTCGCTTCATTATAAATACTGAGATTACGTCGAACGAAATTTACTCTATGCATGCCAAATTATTATTAACAATTACTATTAATTTACTTCACGCATGCCAAGTTAAACATACGTCGCCCGTAGCAATTGCATTTTATAGCGTTTGATTGCGAGATCGCGAGACAAACTTACAAATTTGATTAATTGCTTGCCCAGAAATTTTCTCAAACTCGCGATGCCTAAACGTAGATGGTTACATACGGCTGTCGAAATATATTTTTCCATATCCTACAATTTGTATATGTATAATTTATGCTAATTAAAAAATTACTTTGTTACGTAGTGCACTAAGCGTAATCAAAAACGCCTTCGCTTCTCATTTCGGCGAAATGTGCGAAGCGTAATTTCGTCGCGAGACAGCTAATTTTTATTGAACAGTTCGTCTCCTTAATTAAAGTGAATATTTATTAATCGTGTTTCCTCGAAAATAATCGTGTTTCATGCTCGTAAATTAAATTGACTTTATCGTCCATACGTCCATTTCCTTTTTTCCAAGTAGCTTATTGTCTTACGCTCCTCGCTCGCTAAAATATCGTCATTAATTCTTTTTACGCTTACGCACTAATCGCGCTAGTCAGGACAGTTCGGCAGTAATGTACAAAAAGTTTTCTACATCGATACGTCGGCGAGGTGAGAGCGGTTCATGTCAAGAAAGTGTAATATATAATTTGGAATAACATCTTAATTTAATGTTATAACCTGTAGATATTATTTTCTAACTTGCATGAATATTACTGTCTGTGTCTTTTATATCTAGTGTCATTTAATGCAGATCTTGACTTCCCTTGTATTTTATTTGCTCAATTTTATATAACTGGATTTTTTATTGCTCTCGCGATGCTCTCGTGCCTAATAATAACGTTAGTTAAGAGTGAGGCAGTCACATTCATTAATTTCTAAATGTACGATGACGATATATACCTAGATTATCATGCTGGAAATATTCTGTAGGGTAAATTTAAGCGAGATGGCCTTAGAGGAAAGATGGCCCATTCATGTTCATTCAATACTAGATGGCGAGTTAGAGAGAAGAGTGAGCTATCTCTTCTCTATGACATCTTATCCGAGTTTACCCTAGTTTTGTTAAAGCTATTGAAGATGTATCGTTGATATTTAAGATCTCTAGTTATAAGAGAATTATCATTGTCCTGAGCCATTCACTTTGAAAGTAATATAAGTAAAATATAAAATACATTTTTCTTGCATGCATACATGTGTAATATGTAGTTCTTTTAAAAGTAATAGAGCTCAGTACTTATGCACTGGAATATTCTTAGAGCAATACATAGAATGTTCTTTGGAACTTTATATGAACAAGCTTTTATCTATAATTTTCTTTTATAATTATACCGCAAAATTAAGTTTTCGTTGAGAAAAGATATCGATCTGAAAGTGCTGCGGCAAATAAAGATTATCAGAATTCATAAATGGCACATTTGCATGCGTTACGTGAACTTACCATCTTGTAATAGAATTGAAAACTACTTGCTCTGAAATCCAATGAAGATTACGATTCTACGGAACCACCTTAGGAGACGCACAATTACGGCATGACCTGTTTTGCCGCCAGGAAGTACTTTGAGATTAAAGTTAAGTTTCGTGCTTGTTATCCGGCGGTTTGATATTCTCTCAGTTCGATGCCACCAGCAATTGCCCCTTGCGGATAACGAGCATAAAGAGACACGCATTGGCCGGCACGCTCTTGTGTCGTTCAAACAAACGCGACCGAAGATACTTCGTTTTTGCCCAATGTCCATCGATTCTCGACACGAACCGCATCTCTCACCGTAAATGCTTTGGGAATCGATATCGAAACGATTTCGGTGAACGCAATTTACTACCGTTATGGATTTTTAAATTTAGCGTGCATGAAAATGTTTTTTGTCATGTAAAATGTGTTATCAATAAATATTGAGAGCTTTATAATATCTGTTATAGATCAGTTACAGTTATTATAACTCTTTTTCGATGATTTTTGAGTTTTGTACTATCTCAAAATTTTATAAGTCTATTTTTATTATAAGATTATATGGAGAATGTCTAAAGAAATACTTATCCCTTAATATTGTTATAATAAAACTTTATATTAATTAAGGGCATCTTTCCGTTAATATAATTAAATTTTTTTATTTATCTAATTATTATCGAAATTTATTTTTAATAGCATTTTAACCGATTGATGAATATTTTTATTTTATCAAGTAATATGATCTCAAAAAAATGATCTCTTATATACAATTTACGACTGAGTGATATTGAAAATAGTACAATTTGTCCAGTTAAATTCCGCTTAAAGAAAAAAGTAGACAATGTCTCTTATAACACAGTTACTGTGGATTGCCATTTTCGGGATTTTAATTTCAGGTTCAGACATCAGAGCGGAAAATCCTGATATAAATAACAATTATAGATTTGACGAAAAAATTCAATTTTTATTCATTTTCGATTCATATTTGATTTAAGTTCTTAAAGTGTTTATTCAAAAAACTTTACACAACTAAATCGATCTCACCAAAACTGCAATCATATCGATCCCCTCATAATATCAAAATTTCTGCACGACACATGTGTGCCACCTGCTCGTTGCATGAATGTGAAGTAAGTCGTAACGTAGAGTGATTGCTATGTACACGTAAGTTTACAATTGCGCACAAATCAGCCTCCGGCCATCCGAGGGATGGCGTTACATCGCCAGTCTCTCCAGCGGAAGTTTCGTTGTAGTCTGCGGGATCATATCGACCACGTCGCTGTCCTCATAGGTTCTTTCGTCCGAGCTAAACGTCGTAACTTCCGCGATAACGTCGTCGGAAGCTGCCAACGTGCTGGATTCGACCGTGACGATTGCGAGCTCGCTCGAAACGATCGAGGACGATTCCTCGTCGACGAGCGAGGAGTCTTCGTCGTCGGATTCCTGCCAGGACAAGGACGAGGAAGGGAGAACTGGCGAGAGTTGAGGCAGAGGGGTTGTAGTATAGGCGCATGTATCTTCAGGAACTTTGGTGGTTGACGGTAGCAGTGCTATTTTGCTCCTCGACGTCGCCGATATCGACCTCGATCGACCCGGCAGAGCCGCGCTATCCCGGGAAGACTTTCCTATCCTACGCGAGCCTATCGGTCTCGCGATGTGGTTCCTCGAGGACGGCGGGGGTTTTTTATGATCAGACTGCGGCGAACTCGGCCTTTTGATAGAGAAGAGAACGGTTGACGCACCAAGAAGAGACGGCGAAGAGGACAACGTGGCTGTCGAGGCCCATTGCTCCTCGCTGGCGGGCGCTGTTAGCGACAAAGAGACTCGGGACGAGGAAGTCGTGCCAGGCCCGTACCGCTTCCGGGATGGCGATGCCACCGTGCTCATCCCCCAGCTCATCTGCTGCTGAGTCGTCCTCTTCCTCTTCTTCTTCCCGTCCGTCAAATCAGGCTTTTTACTTTGATTATCGGCGACCCTGAGGTTTGGCTTTTTCGCATTTGACGTTGGTGCTTTGTTCTTACCGAGCGTGTGGTTCCTGCCGCCGCCGTCTATCCGCGATTTCCGCTTCTTCGCCGAAACGGAGAGAGCCTGTCGCCTGCAAGCCTCCTCGCTGGCCGCCCCCTCGCAGGATCGCTTGGATTCCGGCGTGGTGTTGCTTACGATCTCCGATGACGCCTCGATGACACCTGCCACTGATTCCGCGATTGATTTCTCGGTGACTTTGCATTGGGAACCGGGTTGCTCGCCCGACCTGCACCGTCGCTTCCGCTTCTTCTTCTTCTTTCGGCTGTTGTTGCGGCATTGAATCTCCGGGGGCGGCGTTACGCGACACATCTTCAGCGTTTCGTCGCTAGTCTGGCAATGATGATGCCAATGGCGAACTTTGTGATGAGCGCCCAGTATCCGCCTCTGCAGGATCTCCAAGCGATCAGCCGAAACCACCTGCGTCAGTACCCGAACGTTGGATGACCTTTTGCCCAGAGTGTTACCTTCTGTGACAATTACTTTCTTCGGATGGCCATAACGGTCCATACCAATGTAAAGCGTTTCGTTCTCCTTGGACCAGTGTGCCGAGATGTACGTATTGTAATTGTGTTGCTCCAGAGTCTCATTGAAGATGCATGCTTTTGTGCAATTGAGCTGAAACAGAAATTGAAAGAAATAATTTTATAAAATGACGAGTTTTATTATGTTGAAAGATTCTTGTAAGTGTGAAGCAGAAGCTATTAACGAGTTGATATAAAGCTACTGCATTTATTTTATAGATTTTCTTATCTTTTCTTATCCTTTCCTTATCCTTGTTCTGATTTAAAATTTATTGGCTCAAAATTTTGCTTAATTCTAGCGTTAGCGTTATAATTGCTAACAATAAGTATTAGAACATTAAATATTATGACTATTTATTTTGTTGACTGATTCTTTTTTGCTGATGTTTCAGTTTAATGTTCATACTCAATTTAATATATATTTGTTTTTTTTTTTTAATTTAATTTAGAATTACAATACGTTACACGTCATAAATAAGCAACTGGTTTTTAATAATCCTAATAAGCCGTAAAAAAACATTAATTGAAATGACTGAAGAAAATACGTAATAAAAATTTTCCGTCGAAAGAGTTCAAGATTAGTTAGAAATCTGCATTTTATTTGACAGAATATTCGGAAGAGCGTTTACACTTCTGTTTGTAGACATATATAAATTATACAATGTGGGCTTCAAGTATTTCGTAAAACAAAGGATTTTAAACGCACCGGAACAGGATTTCCTTCAAAACAGGATTCTTGCCCATTTCGTGTCCCTTTTCCATTTGCTGCCTCAATTAATTTCGCGATGCACTCTCGGTTTATACACAGCGCAATGTATCTGTTCGGGATACATTAATGGGCAATGCACACGTGCGCAAAACGAGGTTAATGCAAGTTAAAACGCTAAGCTGTTTCCTTAGCGAGACATTAAGGATAATGCGGAACCAACGCGACTGTCCAACGATGGTGCACAGTGAACATTAAGTTATCGCTGGCTAGTGGTGCATGTGTGCCACGATCTCGCCGTTAGCCGTTATGGTGACTTTGTAGATGAAGCGGCGGTATTCTCCACAGACAATTACACTTGTCGGTTCAACTAACAAACATCGGTTCAAACTGCTTCATCTTATGCTGCGTATTTTATTTACACTCGAGCGTTCTTTATACGCGTACGAGGGAATCAAGAGCAAAGAACCTACGAACACGAAGTTAATTTTTTCAAATACGTTGAATAAATAGTTGTAAAAACCTGGCTTGTCCTTGTCAAAATAATAATTATTTCTCTTAAACCGGATTTTAGCATCTGTAAACCAGAAGAGAAGCGACTAGTTCCGCGTACCTACACCGTGTGAATAAATAATCCCGTTACTAATAATTGTTATGCTATAATTCATTTAGGTCGCTCCTACAAACTTGTAACTGCATCTTTTTAGCAGTTAAATGCGGCATACCGGGAATGATAGCGACTTTATTGAGCATCACATGTGCGGCACAAGTACGCTAAACGAGTCGCATTGATCCTCGGATTCTAGTAAGCAGCGAGTAACGAGCGATTACGCGTCAAGAGAGGCGCCGCGAGAAATCTAAACAAATTTCGTATTTTCCCTCAGATATTTATGGCTATGACGAAATGAAGGCTACGCCAAATCTGTCTTCTCGATATTGGCTTAGGCGAGAAATGCAGATGAAATTATTAGGACTATTTTCTTTCCTTTCGAAGCGTAGGTATAGATATTATAAAACTACGCGACGCGTGAAATGAACGAAATGTCGAAATATATATTCGATATGTTTATCTCTTCTTTTCTGTAAATTTAGATCGTTAATGTTATGAGATTTAAATAATAAGATGATAAAGTGAATAATGAGTTTAGAAATAATAGATTAACTTGCATTAATGCAAATTGATTATGTTACGTAAATGATCGATATAAGCAGTAGCACCATTCTTTTAAAGAAAACTGTAAGTGACTTTAAACAAATACAACCGCACAATTATATTAAACGCACATGAATACATTTAAAGACAAAAAAATTTTACAGTGTCTGTATTCATTCTTAAGTAGAACAATGATATGCTGAATTGCTAAGAATTTTTAAGATTTTCGATTTTTATGAATCGTTAAATGGAAAATGGGAAAATTAATATCAAGAACTGCATTGCTCTTGCTGCATTTACTTTTCCTAAACCTTTAGATCTTCTAAAGCGTTTTTGCGGATTAAAAAGCTTCTTCAAAAGCAATCGCAAGTAAACTGTGTCTGTTACTTCAAGTCGAGTCATTTGGCAGCTGTTTCAACGACAGCGGAAGTACGGTGCAAATGCCAAGAATAATGTATACTGCACTATCATAATATTTGCAAGAATGTAGGCAAGATTTTTGGGAGAATGCTAAAATGTCACGCGGCAAACAATATTTGCAAGATTTGCAAGAAAACACTATCTTTTCGCAATTGAATAAAGCTTGTAATAAAGCTTTAAATAGTCTCTTTTTTTATTCCCAAACATTTCCCCAATATATAGAACGTTTACTTGTTTTTATATGAGTTTTTAAATTGACATGTAAAACGCTATTTTTTTAAAAGAAAATTTAAATAGGAAAGATAGATTTTCAATTTAAAAATTGATAAACTTTACATATATATATATATATATATATATATAATTTTTGCATAGGTACTACTAAATATCTCTAGTAAATATAACTCGATATTACATATAATACATAACATCTCTATACGAGATGTGTACATGTCTTTACCGAAGCGTTACGAAAAAATATATGATTGATTTACGGATCATTAGATATCTGCTACCGGATTATAAATTATTCGGGTAGCCGAGAAAACGAATATGACACGGTGATCGGTCAATGAGATGCAAGACGAAAGTAAAATAACGTACTAATTGCGTATCTCTTTCGGTTATACTAAAGATTGGAGAATGTTGCTCCTAGTACATTAAATTATTTTTAATTTACCGAGGCTTGGTATTTATTCAATGCTTTTTTTCGAAAATCACGCTGCAACTTTTGAAACAAGTGTTTCTTTATTTTTCAAGTCTCTCATGCAAATATTTATAAAAAGAAAGCGAGAAAACATATTTATTATAACATATTTCTTCAAATGTATTTACTGCATTCATATTATATCCGCGTCTTGGTATTTAAATAAATTTGAGAAAAGGATTTAAAAAGATACGAAATAAAATTTTATTTAATTCGGTGATTTTTTTATGAAATTTTGCTTAGATCTCATTTTCATCGAAGAAGTTTATAAAGTTGCTGAATATAACGATTTCTTGAAGAAGTTTAATGCGCTCTAATCATTCGAGTGACTTTGAAGAGAATGTTGTATAGAGATCGCAGGTGATGTTAACGACGTGACGCCAATTATAGCGCCGCGAATCGCGAAGTTGTAGTAAATAATGAATTCGTTAGAAACAAAACAACTAATGGAGACGGCAACCGTAAAGAGTGCCAGAAGAATGCAACTATCTTGCCACTTTATAACTCGGCTGTGCTGCTTGTTCTTCTCGTACGACGGATAATTTATTGTTATTATATACTATAATATGTTTCTTGCATGTCACGTGCATAAGAGGCCATCAAATGAATACGGAATTTAACCCTTTTATCTATATATGCCATATAAAAGTGGATGTTATTTACAAAAGAAATATTTAGCTCAGATTCTCAGATCGATGTGTTATTTCAATTTTTTCGTGTAAGAGATCTTTACATGGAAAAAGGGACAGCAATAATAATATTGATATAAAAAATTTAAAAAATTAAAATAAAAATATTCTTAGAAAGACCATTTTTATTTTAATTTTTTCGGGAAAATGTCTAGATAATGTATTCAAGGTATTGGTGGAATATTTTTTTACTTATTTCAGAGAAATATTTTTGAAAATATTTCGGAACAATATTTTAAATAATCATAAAATATTTTTAAAAATATCTCGGAACGTTATTTTAAATAATCATAAAATATTTTTAGGATGTTCTTATATTTATAATATTTTAGAAATATTTTTCCAATATTTTTTTAATGAATTATATGTTCTATTCGAAAGAGCAAGCAGCAGGTGATTTATTCAGTTCCGCGCAATTAACGAGGTGCAATCGAGTTGACGATAATAATTAGGGTCGTATCGTGATAATGAATTACGTACAATCCTTTATCGCGTAATTGCAGAGCAGCGCGCATATTTGCATGTACACATGGAATCAGCTGTTCGAAGAGCCTCAGAAGTGCCGCTGATCATTCTTTATGTCATTTGGTAATGGGACACTATCATCAATATTTAGGACACATTTCTTGGTGTAAGACTAATATGCTACGTTCAATTATTATTTATGCCGTTGGCATAATAAAATAAATAATCATAACTAGCTTATTTTGATAGCAAAAAAAAAAAGATAAAAGATCACATTTATCAAATAGACAAACTAGGTGCAAATTTTGCACGTGACGAGATTTAACATTTCGTATTCCAAATAAACGATTTGTCTACAAATTCCATTAATATTCGCGCCGATATAATGTTCGATTTATGATAATAAAACCGCAGAGTTTGGACTATCAAGCCTTTTATGCGTGCAATGTGTGATGAGTCAATGTCTACACATTTCTGATTTTTTCTCTTTTTGTATTAGACAAAAATAAATGTATTATTCTAACCAAGAAGATCAAAGATAACCGAAAGGCATGAGTATGTACATGATTATGTAGGCAGCATCCGATTTAATTTCAGTAAAGGTGCCGCTAAGATAAAAATTATTTATGATGTTCTAATCGTCACGTGGTGAATCGTAATTCGTCAGTGAAGAAACGCGTTGGGTCTAATCCAATTAGTGAATTAATTGCGTTATTAGATACCAGTTCAAAAGAAGGATCGATTAGTCGATTACACGCGCCGCGCCGATAATCGTAAATCACGGGATTGAATCTTTAATTTCGTTTATACGTTGTAGTAGTCACGCTACTTGCGATATTGCCGGACTTATATCACGTTAGGAAACGGTTTCGAGGAGTTAGAAACTCAATTTTTATTACCCAACGGTGAAAGATATTCCACACGTTTCGTGTGATTTCTAGAAGTCTGTTACATC